CCACCCTTCCCACCCACACGCCCCAAATTTCCCTGCTCTGGGTGCTCCCGGCGCATCAAACCCCTTCGGCTCCCCACTGCATCCCCCCACACCAGCACTTGCATGTGGGTGTCCCTGACTTGCCAGTCACACCCAGGCAACCGCATGGCCTGCCCCCCCTCACAGCTGGAGAGAGGAGGATCAGCCCCAGCTCAGGGATGCGCGTGAGGATTGGGGTATCCTCATGAGCACCCTTCAGCCTGGGACCACCCAGACAAGACACCCTTTGTGGCTGAGCTGGATGGGTTTATCTGGCCCCAAGCATCTGACCCCAAGGACAAGACACGACTCCCCCTTAAGCCATTACTGCAGCAGGAGGAGGACAAAGCCGGTTCCCAGAGACCTCCTGCTGCCGACCAGTGAGGCCATAAGGTGGGGGCCAGCCCATCAGCGGCCCTCAGAGCCCCCCAGCCCTTGGCCGCTAGCCCAGAGGCTGGAGACGGGTGTGCTGCTCCCCAGGAGAGGTGAGAGGCGATGGGCCGGCTCTGCCAAAGCGTGGGCACAGGTCGGGTGGGAGCGTGTGCGTGTGTGTATATGAGCACGTGTATGAGTGCATGTGCACACATGGCACCCAACGCATCTAAATGCACAGCAGTGCTGATGCAGCGCCCGCATGCAGCTCGCCCTTCAAACACCATGAATGTGCTCCCACAAGATCCCCCACCAGACGAACTCTCCGCTCTGCGCCGTGTCTGGCTTGGGATGCCCCAGCAGCATTGCCTGCAGCGTGCCGGTCCCAGAGAGAAGCCGCACACCATTGCAGGCCGGGTCAGGATCAGGCCTTTCTGGGACCCTGCAGGCAAACACACAGCTCTGCCAGCTCCGCTCTCCCTCGGTGCACCAAGCCCAGCCAGCCCCAGCCAGGGCTTTGGGCGCATGTGGAGGAAGCCTGGCCAGAGTTTATGGTCTTCTCCAGCTTCATGGGTGATGTGTCTTGCTGTAAGGTTGAGGACTCGCAGCCTGGCAGGCAAAAAGAAGCAACAGCTAAATCAGGAAAGTCCATTAGCGTGGAATTAATCCCAGGAAACATCACTGGCAGAGTCTGAATTCAGCACTTAGCTTCCTGGCAAGAGAAAGCAGCTGCTGGAGTTGCTGTCTCTGCTCCAGGAGCAGTTTGTGGGCCAGGGTCTTGGAGCAGCTGCGGGCCCCCAGCCCCTCACTCCCTGCAGCCTGACCCCCCATAGCCTGACCCACCATCAACCTCCACATGATGGTAGGGAGCTGTAGGGTCTCCTTCCAGGTCCAAGCCTCTGGCTTAGGGACCTCTCCCAGCATCCGCGCACAGCAGCAGTGGTGCTCAGCCAGGAGCTGGACAGGTCCTGGCTCCATCCCGCGGCTGTGGTGAGTCGGCGACCCAGCGGGGCTGTGTGTGTCATCCAGCCCCGTGGCCAAGTCTGGGCTTGGAGCCAGTCCCAGGCTGAGGGCTTTTTTTTTCCAGAGCTCTCCACAGCGTTTGCTGCCAAAGCCACCCCAAGGTCAGCGTGAGCCATGTGGGCCACAGGCTTCCCAGAAATGCTCTTCCCGCCTGTCAGCACAGAGAGGCTGGCGTGCCTTCACCCCCACCATCGCTGGGGGCCACTGCCCCCCTGAGCAGCACAGCATGGGGCATCCACACCAGTGCTTGTGCCTTGTGAACACAGCAGCTCCATCATGGCACCATCAAACGGGTCATTTCTAAGGCCAGAGATGGAGCTGCCCCCTTGGCCCAGCAAGCTCATGGGAAGGCAGCCAAGAGCCCATCATTTTCCCCTTCCTCACTCTATGCTTTTAGGGCACAGCCCAATTCGGGTGTCATTTTAAGACCATCCTTGCAGCACAGGGCTCCCAAGGCCAGCCATGGCTGGGCAGCAGTTGGTGGCCCTTGGCTGCCTGCCCCCAGGCTCCTGCTGTCCTCTTCTAGGTGAGCGCAGGGCTGAGGAGACGAACAGCTTTCCTCCAAGCTGCCTCCACGCTGCCTTCCCAGGACAGGCAGATCCCCATCTCTCACGGATGCCTGTGAGAAAACTGTGGCCAGTTCTGCGTGGTTGCTCAGCCAGGTGTGAAGCCCCTGTCCTGGGCTTGGCACCCATCTGGAGAGCAGTGAGAGGACAGCACTGGTTAGGGAAAAATGAGTTTTCACCCCCAAACACGAAGATGCTCACATACCCCCTGCAAAGCTGACTAAGCAGATCTGTTTCTAGCCCAGCGTTAGCCTATCATGCGCTGTTAATTGCTACATACATCCTTACCTCGAGCACAAGAGCCTCTGGCGTGGTGGTCCTAGGCTATGCACTCCATGTCCTGTCCCATCACAAGCTCTTCCATCAGACCAGGACAGGTTCTTCCAACACCAGCCTGTCACTCACTGCATCACAGCCTGACACCATATCTGGCAGCCGTGTCCCACAGGGAAACATCTGGCTGTCATGGGGCAAATGCCACCAAAGCACGAGGCAGTTCACACACCAGTTACTGTTCTCACTCCCTCCATGGCCATCTGCCCCTCAACTGCCTGTGCCTCTCCTTCCTGCAGGGACCGGATTGCTCGGATTGGTCTGGGGGTGATTCTGAACTTAGCCAAGGAGCGAGATGTTCCCCAGCTGGCGCAGAGCGTCTCCGGTATCCTGGAGCACATGTTCAAACACACCGAGGAGACCTGTTTCCAGCTAATCTCTGATGGAGGCCTGGATGCTATCCTCTACTGGTGCCGTTGGACGGACCCCATCGTGCTGCGGCACTGTGCCATGGCCTTGGCCAACTGTGCCATGTATGGCGGGCAGGCCAACCAGCGCCTGATGATCGAGAAGAGGACGGCGGAGTGGCTGTTCCCACTGGTATTCTCAAGAGACGATGAACTAATCCGCCTGCACGCGTGCCTGGCCATCACGGTGCTGGCCACCAACAAAGAAATCGAGAAGGAGGTGGAGCGCTCGGGGACGCTGGCTCTGGTGGAGCCATTCATCGCCTCACTGGATCCGGAGCAGTTTGCCTGCGAGATGTTGGGCAGCAGTGACAACAGCCAGGGGCGGACGGCGGACGACCTGCAGCGGCTGGTGCCCTTGCTGGACAGCTCGCGGCTGGAAGCACAGTGCATCGCTGCCTTCTACCTCTGCACGGAGGCTGCCATCAAAACCAGGCAGAAGAAAACAAAGGTAAAGGGTAGGTTGGCCTGAAGGAAGGAAATGCAAAAGGGAAGGGCTGCAACAACTGCTTCTTGGTGTCTTTTGCTCCCCTATGAATTCACCAAGTACGCTGGTCCTCAGCTGGCCCGGCATAGGTTGCAGGGAGGAGGAGGGAAAGCAAAATGATGTCTCCTCCCTTTGTGTCCCCAGATTTTCAGTGAGATTGGGGCTACGCAGAGCCTGAAGAGGGTAGTGTGCTACTCCACCAGCAGCACCACCTCCTCCCTGGCCAAAAAGGTGCTGCGCATGATAGGGGAGGAGGTTCCTCGGCGCATCCTGCCCACGGTTCCCAACTGGAAGCCCTGTGAGGTGCAGACGTGGCTGCAGCAGATCGGATTCAACAAATACTGCCAGAGCTTCCTGGTAGGGCTGCATGCCAGGGGAAGAACACCTGGATGGGCCCTTTTGCCCCATCTTGCAGCGGAGGTGTAAGCATCTCACCCAACAGTTTTTCTGGGAACTTTCCAGCCTGGATTTCTCTTGGCAGGACCACCAGGTGGATGGGGACATTCTCCTGAGGCTGACAGAGGAGGAACTGCAGGAGGATTTGGGGATGGACTCCAGCATCACTCGGAAAAGGTAAGACCACCACTCACATGCTGGCCTCTCACATGGTCATCACAAGAGTGGCAGAGCCAGGGAAAAGGTCTGTGCCTTTCCCTTCTTGCAAAGACAAGAACAGAGACCCTCAAAATGCAAACCTGGACTGCCAGGACTTTTCCAGTGCAGTATGCAGTCCCAGAGGGATTCCTGCAATGGGGCCAATGCACAGGAGAGGTGTGGGATAGAGAGAGACCACCTATGGCACAGGGGAGGTGGGATCCTGCAAGTTACCCAGAAAGATGGGAACTTACCCAAGCTTCTCCTCCCTTAGCTGAGCTCCTTAATACCTCCATGTCCTCAGGACCAACACTCCCCCAGTTGTTCTTCTCTCTTCCTATTCCTTTAGCTCATTCTTCACCATGGCATGTAGCTGCGCTCTCTCCTGTGCAGATAAAAGCTGTGGTACCAAATGTCTCTAGGTCCTGCCTGGTCCAGCAGCCTCCCCTCCCCACTCCACACTTTCATTTGTTTCTCTGCCAGGTTTTTCCGGGAGCTGACAGAGCTGAAGACCTTCGCAAACTACTCCACCTGTGACCGCAGCAACCTGGCCGACTGGCTGAGCGGCATTGACCCCAAGTTTCGTCAGTACACATACAACTTGCTGACATGTGGCATCAACCGCAACTTCTTGCACCGGGTGACGGAGCAGCAGCTGCAGGAGGACTGCCACATCAACATGGGTTTCCACCGCGTCCGCATCCTCACTGCTGCAAGGGGTGCGGGTCCCACTGCCGCTCATTGCGCCAGAGCAGGAGGGTGGGGGCGAGTATCGAGGGTTGTTTGGGATGAGCTGTTGAGTATTTTTTACTTTTGGTTGCCGTTTTCTCTGTCTAGAAACGCTTCACTCCCCTATAACGCTGCAAACTGCATCCGATGGGACTGATGTATTTATCAGCTACCGGAGGAGCACTGGGTCGCAGCTGGCCAGGTGGGTCTTGCAGGCAACAGTATGGTGCTGGGCCGAAGCC